GCAGTGACAGCCCCAAGCACACTCTCTGCGGCCTTGAGGTTAAAAATGTGACTGGTTTGGAAAATGACAGGAAACAAAGATTTTAGTAACCTACCAGAACGATGCCGTTAAAGTATGTACAACCACTTCTGGATGGTGTCTGTCCCTGAGAGACGTTTACTATTTCACTGAAGACTTCATTCTCCAACGTTTAACTCATGAACCATGGCTAAAAATGATGCAGTATTTGCCAAAAGAAGTTTCTACAAACGTGTTTCCACTCCGATATTCTAAAGCAATTCCTCATAAAGCATGGTTGGCATATCACTAAATAAGAAAAGCCATTTCTAGATGATTATGCCTGATGATTCTTTGTCATTTCCATGAATTATATACCAGCCACTACTGATGGGGTGAATCTGAGCTCAGCTGATCAGAGCAGCGGGAGGCAACAGCTTTAGAATCTTTTGAAACAAGAATTAATTTTCCAGATCATGAGACCAATTGGCCATCATGAACATTGCCCCAAGAGAGCAATCATGGCCTGGACACCACAGAGACAAGTCACCTGGTGTTGTCTATAAATGGATTCTCTAAGAACCTAATTTGAAATTACTGCCTTTAATTATACTGCTGATATAAATAACTTTGACAAAATTAGTGCAGCTGGCCTCTGTTTGTTTTTCCCATTCAAATGCACTGTACAATGTAATCATCTGAAATAAACATCCATTACAAAGAATGCCTCGTCTCAAAGAACATATTATTCTGCTCATCCAGTCGATTGTTTTTCTCCCCTCCCGTCTCCATTTTCATCTTGCACCTATTAAAGGGATGAACAAATTACCGAGCTCTCATAATGTACCAGCTAACAAATTAAAACAATACATTGCTCCTGAATAGGGCCATGCATTGAAATCAATGTAATTCATTTTTATCCTCAATTATCATGTTTTCTTATGAGACAGACCCTTCCAGCTTCAAAACAGTTAAAAGACATTCATCTCTACATAATAAAATTATATCTTTTCTAAAATAGAAACCCACATCTTTAGAAGAAAACCGAAGGTCCCACTTTCATTTGATATGCTTTTTGATTCCACAATCCAAGGAAAGACGGATATAAGACCCGGGCCTCGTTCACGTACGTTATCACAGGCAGTCCCTTGTCTTCGCAGAGAGCGGAGCCCTTTGTTCTTGGTTCACTGTGCTGATTGTCATCTCCATCCTTGCTACAGTCAGGACAGGATCCGCCAAGGTCAACCTAACTAGGCTCAGCTATTCCCAAGCTCAGTTCAACTCAGTTCAGCTCTCACCAAGTTCAGTTCAAGCCTGCAGTTCTTCAGTAGCTACTTGCTGGTGCAAGATGGTGTGAAGATTTCCAAAACGGCCTCTGTTCTCAGTTTGGCAGTGAAACGGACAGTAAGATTAGCTGGGAAACAGTGTTTAGAAATGGTTGGACAAGAGCACAGATGATAAAACAAGCGCTTGGCAAGATTAATGCCATTGGAGAAGTCACGGAGAGTTCTTGGAGTTTAAAGCAAAAATGCACGTGGCCTGTAGAGGCCAAAGTATAGCAAAGTAAGCTGTGGCACAGCAAGTCAAGCTACCATTTGAGGTGATACCGATTAAATGAATACCAGCTTGAGTTCCCTGCTGTTCCATTTCTGGTCCAGCTCCTTCCTAGGGTGCTGGGAAAGCAGCAGAGAATGGCTCAAGTGCTTAGGCACCTGCTTCCCAAGTTGGGAACCTGGGTGGAGTCACGGACCTCTGACTCAGCCTGATCCATCCCCAGTAGCTGCAGACATTGTGGAGGGATCTCATGGGTGGAAAATCTCTCTCCTCTCCTCTCTCACTCTGCTTTTCAAATAAATAAATAATTTTTGTTTTTATAAAAGATTTATTTTATTTTTATTGGAAAGTCATATATATGGAGAAAATGAGAGAGGAAGGTCTTCCATGCTGGTTCACTCCCCAAGTGCCTGCAATGGTTGGGGCTGAACTGATCCACAGACAGGAGCCAGGAGCTTTTCCATGTCTCCCACGCAGGTGCAGCGTCCCAAGGCTTTGGGTTGTCCTCGACTGCTTTGCCAGGCCACAAGCAGGGAGCTGGATGGGAAGCCGGGCTGCCGGAATTAGATACAGCACCCATATGGGATCCCAGCCCGCGAACGGTGAGGACTTTAGTGACTAGGATACTGCACCGGGCCCAATAAATACTTTTTTAAAGACATGTATATCATTGGGCCCGGCGCAATAGCGTAGCAGTTAAGGTCCTCACCTTGAATGTGCCGGCATCCCATATGGGCGCCGGTTCTAATCCCGGCAGCCCCACTTCCCATCCAGCTCCCTGCTTGTGGACTGGAAATGCAGTCAAGGACGGCCCAAGACTTTGGGACCCTGCACCCACGTGGGAGACTCAGAGGAGGCTCCTGGCTCCGAATTGGCTCAGTTCCGGCCGTTGCGGCCGCTTGGGGGGTAAAACATCGAATGGAAAATCTTCCTCCCTGTCTCTCCTCTCTATAGAAAATGAATAAATCTTTTATAAAAGAGACATATATATCATAGATCCTGTAAAGTACATGTCTGAATCGTACTTTATTCTTTGTAATGAGATACACATTTGATGAGAAATTTAATAAATGAGTTGCTTCCAATTTCTGTAATAAACAATGAGTGTTCTTATAAAATATGTATCTTTGGGAAATTGTGCAATTATTTAAGTAAAATTCATTCTTATGAGGAGTGTTTCTGAGTTAATGGTATAAACATCAAATTACCCTGCAAGTAAGTTGCCCCAATTTACAAATGCATCCTGTATCTGTGGCCGTGGACGGTTTCCTGGCATACTGCAAACAGAAATGTTGGGACTCAGCTTTCCATTTTTCTCAATTACTGTTTGCTTTTCCTAACACCATTTATCTCATTGCCTACCTTTTTTAACACTGATTTGAAATGTGATTTCAGAGATACCAACAGACAGCAAATAAATAAAGAAAATAAATCGAGATGAAGCAGACTGGGTTTTATTTTCCATAGCAAGAGTCACTCGGTCAAATAAACGCACATCTTGATAGAGACGCCGCTTCCACTGGGAGCAGGCGCTCTTCCTAGAAGGTGATTCTGAGAGGAAAAGCAAAGCAGAAAGCAGGGCAGGGGGTGGGGTGCTGAGGAGTCGGGGAAAGCCGGGTCCTGATATATTTGGGATCTTTGGAGAAATTTTGCTTCACCGTTAGCTCAGAACTGTCCACTTACAGAGCAGAGAAGCCGGGGCACAGATGCACTCGTCCATTCCGAGGATATTAACTCATTTTTCACTTCCACAAAGGGCTTGTGTGCATGAGGCAAGAGCAGGTGCAGCAGCTCAGACCTTGAGCAGAGAAGTGCATGCCGCGGGCACTGACGCAGCAGTCACAGTGCAGGTGAACCCAAATGCAGGCCACTTATTAATACAAAGATCTGTGATGCATCTGTCCAAAGCTACACAGGAATGAAGTTTATCACAAAAAGGGGGAGTTTGGGTACAAATATTGTGTCAAGTATTGTACCTTTCACTCCATCAAAGACAGAACAGACCTCAAATATGTTGTTGAGAAGTTGATTTCTTTGGCATCAGTAACCTCAGAGGGAACACCATGGCCCCAAAGAGTTTAAGAAATCACCAAACAGCTCGATAAACCTTTGCAACGCATGTATACACAGATGCACTGTTCTACTTTGTTTTTCACTAGAAAAATAATTTTTTACTTTCTTTTGTCTTATTTCTCTGATTTATTGGGCATTTGCTCATAATTGAAAAAATTACAAAAACATTCCTAAGAATTGCATAGCAATCATCAGAAACTGATTTTGAATCACATATTTATAAATGAAACTTTGGGCAGACTTTAATGAAATGTGTCTTATTGTATTAGTATGTATGCAAAAATCCCATTTCTTTAAATTTAGGTTGTTAAACTCCAAGTAGAGCTACCAGTTGTCATATACTGCGTATCTGGAGGGGCCTTGCTCCAGAATGCCTTTTCGTCTGAAATAATGCCATTTATTAGTGAGAAGCTGCCCTGGCTTCTCAGTTTCCTCAGCGTAACACAGAAATAGTTACACTCCTGACCACACAGGACTGTGGTGAGTGTTTAGGAGTGAATATATAGAAATAGTTCCAAACAGCGACTGGCACGTAATATTCAATAAAAACCACTTATTCTTGTAACTTTCCACAAATGACAGCATGGTAATGATTAAAGACATGGTAGGCACAGCCACGGCTCAGGGCGTGGCATCCAGTAAACTAACAGTGTGCTCTGGCTCTTGATTCACCATCTGTATTAAACACAACAGGTTAAAGAAGTTAAATCAGATGAAGAAAATACTTGGTGTTAAGAATTGGAATTACTTTGGAATCTCTCATTCTTAAGCCCAGTGTGGTAGTAGGGCCAAATAAAAATGAAAGGTCAATGGTGTTGTGATTGATGGATTTTTATTAGCTTCGGTGATGAAATAATAATGATAACACCTTCATGTGCTTAAAGATTATAAAATATTTTCCAATACAGTCTCTTGCTGGGACTGCGTGCTAACTCCAGGTGGTATACCCCAGTGGACTTGCCTCATCTCATTGGCTGTTTGATTATTTAAGCTTACCAGATCATTAACATCTGTGCCATATATGCTTTTTAATCTTTACATCATAGGATCTTTAACCGTTTCATATTTGTCTTGAGGCATATTGAGCTATTCCTCCCAAGTGGTTGTAGTGAACAGAATGGAAACTTGTGGAATCATCTTCCCCTCTCATAAATGAAGCAACCTCAGAGGAGGACAGTATCTCAGCTGTTCCAAGTTCCTCAAACAAGTTTTACTTTTGCAAAACCCACCCTGTCACTTCCTATATTCGGTGAGCTGTGCTCTGAGCAACATGACCGGCAGGCACGCTTGCTGTAATTTCTTAAATATGTGGAAAAAAAGCAAGATCTCGACCATGTATTACCTTAACCAAGACGCCAAATTATCTAACTTGTTTCTCCAGGCAAGCAGCCCGACCACAGGGACAGCTCCCAGGAGCCAGTCGAGGTTGTCCGTCTGCCCGTCCACTCAGGACATCTGCAGGTAAGTGCCGAGCAAATGGTCCTGTTCAGTGCAAGGAGGCCAGTGTGTGCACGTCTCCTGCGCTCTGTCTGTGGCTCTCGTGTCTGTCTGACATGTATGTGTGTTTGTCTTGTTTCATATCTTTTGCTCATTTTCTTCAGTTGGTCTTTTATTTATCAACTTCTGATCATGCTCCCATTTTCATCATTCTTTCTCTTTCTCTCTGTCCATGGCTTCCCCCCAACCCATGCCCATGTCCCATCCTTTGCCTGCTGCTCTGTCCAGATCTGCCATGTTGCATGACATGTCTGAAGATACAGTTGAACACTGCACCCCTGTCGTGGTGCTGAGCCCTGCTAGGAAGGAGTCCGGTAGGGGAGCAGAGAAGCCTAGGAGGAGGAGGAGGAGGAGAGCCTTGGAGCGATACGAGCATGCTGAAGAACATAGAAAGGGGAGAAGAAGTGATTTCAACGTGCAGAGCTCAAGCCCCAAATGGAGGGAGCTTTACCCTGAGGATTCAGATTCCTCTTGCACCGACGAGAGCCGTTGGATCCAGGCCAAAAGGAGAGCTCAGGTTAAATTCAGAGTCTCCCGAAGAAGACGGAGAGACCACAGTAAACAAGGGGGAAACGTGGATGGATCATCCACTCTGAATAAAGCAGAGCTTGTTGATGTGGCATCCAGAAGCCAAGCCTGCCAAGAGCTGATAGAACATGAAAGCTGCTCTTTAAATCTCCGGGGAGGAAAGGTCATGAGGTCCCAAGAGTACAGTCCGTCCCTGGCTGCGGGACCCGTCGAGATGGATAGATCCTCACCGAATCCTGCCAAGGACAAAGGCAGATCCCTCCATGGAGACCTGCGGCTCCTGCCCTCTCTTAGGCGGAGTGCAAGAATCAAGAAGAGATGTCCAGAAACAGACACCCGCACTGAAGTCCTGGCAGTGACAGACGGTGGCAGGTGCGTGGGCGACAGAGGGCTCCAGGTACACAGCTCGCTGCAGCAGCCTTCTGCGACCTGTGACGATCATTTAGAAGTGTGCAGGTCAGTCCCTGTAGATGACCCACTCTACCTGATGTTCCTCCGTGTTTTTCCTCCTGTGAATTGTGTGTGTGTGTGTGTGTGTGTGTGTGTCAGCTACCCACAAATTGTCACATGTACTCATGTTATGTGTCTGGCTATGGGTGTACGCTGAGCAAAGGTGGCTGTGAAGAATGATGCAGAAATATTCAGGAGTTTGAAACGGGATTTAGATGCCCTATTCCTATCCTCTTAACTGAATGATGATTTATCCCCGTAACGGGCCTAGGACCCCAGTTGAGTCTTGTGAGGACAGCACCAATGGAGGAAGCACGGTGCAACAGTGTGGAACCTTTGACTGTGCGATGCAAATTTGCCAAGGAGCTAGTAGTGCCCTGGCAGAAAGCTGTCCAGGCCTGGGCTCTTCAAGGTCAAATTGTTTTGTCAGAAAAATGCCTTCTGCAGTTGCCTGTAATTTGTTCTCCAGTTGTCTGACTCAGCAGGGGCAGTTTAAGAGTGAAAGGACCCAGGTCAGGGATTAGCAGTGGGGTTGCTAAGCCTTCAGGGGAAGAGCTCTCGCTGATGAACTGATAGCGATAATTAACTTCCCTGATAATCACAGCCTAACAGGGTTCAACCTGTAGCTATTTTCTAACCTCGAGGTTGCTTTTCTTGCATTTTTTTTAACCAAAGAACACCCATTTTCAAATCCGCTTCATGTTCAAAGTAATTACAGAAAAATCTGTAACAGTATGTATAAGTGAGACAATTTTAAGCAAACAGTTTGAAACTTTTTATTGTAAGTCCAATCATTTAAGCAGTTTTGGCTACTACTTGGCAGCAGATAAAGATGTTTTATGCAATTCTCAATTGTTTGGGCTTGTGTATAAAAGTTGAGGTTACTCTATAAAACATATATGAATGCTTAATGTAAGTCATCTGACCAAAGAATGTTGTCCATGTCCATTTAGATTTATTTCTCTAAGTTTTATAAGATAACCATTGAAAAAAGGTTTATTAATGTATTCATTCAAGTATCTTAAATGAATCAGGATTATTCTAGAAATTGAAAATGTCATACTACATAAGAATTGGGTGGAATCTGACATCTTAGAACTTATCAAATGGCCAACACAGACAAGTTTTTTTTTTCACAGTCAAAATATAATTGCAATCATAATCATCCATTTCTTCAAGAACAAGAAACTTAGCCTGTTCTGGGAGACCAGAGAAGAGCTTTCACTGAGGATTGAGAGGTGACAGGAACTGCTCAAGGAAAGAGGGAGCACCAGAGCAGGCCAGGAGGGGGGCTCTCGCCGAGCCAGGGGGCTGAACACCTGCTGTCACAGTCTGGGTGTGCAGAGTCCAGGATGGGCGCCCAGGGAGGAGTGGAGAGGCCGGGGTCGTGCTTGAAGGGAAAGTGACTCCATACGATAGATGGATGAATGCAGATTTCTTAGATAAAAAGAAAAATGTATCCGAGAGCATCAAAGAAGATAGCTTTTAGTGTAGTGGTGGATGGAGGAAGAACACAGTGCTCACAGTGGTACCCGCAGGACAGGTTCTGAATACCTGAAGGACAGTTTCAGAGGAGTGAGCTTTACCCAAGGCTCTGAGTGAAAGTGCGAGCCCTTGGCACCGCAGTGCCGGTTTCTGGACTGACGGCAGATCAGGGAGCGCTCAGCCCAGGGCTCCAAGTCAGGGCGCCCGTGGTGCAGGTGTGTAACCCAGCATGCCGGAATGCACGCTCACCACAAGGACACCGCAACCTGCGTGCACTTTTTCTCAGCGTCGTGCAAAGAAGCTGTGTATATCAATATATCACTATAACACAGAATTTCAATGGCCATTCCGCTATATCCATAGTAGGAAAGTCTTTTTCTTTCTGATAGAAACATTGGGGAGGAAAAAAACCATGAATCAGATTAGATTAGCCCATTACTAAACGTCTCATGGTCTCTTATCTGCTCTCGGCATAAACTGCCAGTCTTTAGCATGATTCTCTAGGTCCTGGCTTTAACCACGGCCTCTCTGCTGGACTGTTGTCCCCAGGCAGTGCCCTGGGCCTGTTAGCACCTCAGAAGACATGTGTTGCCCCTGGACCTTCACCAGACTGATTCCTACTCATGTTTTCCATATAACTGTCATTTCTCTGGGCTCAGATTCTGAATACCTGACCAACACAGAATCCTCTGTTCGGTCAGTTCCACAGAACAGTTTTTAATTGCTAAAACATAGATGTGTGTATGATGTGTTGTGTCCTATGTGTTCACTGCCTTGTCCAAAGCGGGAGGAAGAGTGTCAGGCAGCGAGCACAGATCAGTGTACGGTTTCTAAGTGAATAGATAGATGGGGAATGCGTTTTACCAAGGAAATAGTTCTTGCTATGTGAAATCACAGCACTGAGTATTGAATTGCCTCACACACTATAGAACTAATTTATAAAGAATTCTCTAACAATTTTAAACCCTTGGAGGATGTCAGCATTGCCTATAGAACTTGTAACAATTCAGGTCTGGTTTCCCACTCTATGGCTGGGTGCTTCTAAAATGTTGCTGGATGATGATCCAGGGCCATGTTTGGAGAGCCACTGTTCCATGGCACAAATGCTCCCGGTGCTTGAGATGGAAAGAAAAAGGAGAAGAAGAAACTGAAAGAGTCAGTTTGGAAAGAATAATATATTTCAACACATTTCCTTACCCTGTTCCCTTGAATCCTGACACAAGACATAAAACTAGCTTACCTTCCTATGTCTCTCACAGTCATAGCAGTACAGTGTGGCTCATGTTGCTAAAACCGTAGACGGGCAAAGCCCCAGTGTTACCAGGAACTCAGATGTCATGATTTGACTATTGCTTCCACACAAACTCACTTCCTCTTCCCAGCCAGCCTCATTTCTCTCAGTGAGTCCACAAGTGCCTCCCATTTTGGGGTTTTATGTGGTCAGCCTCCAACAAAAGCTATCACTTCTTCCTGCAGGTATCACTCCCAGACTCTGCCTTATTTGTCCTGCTCCACCATTCTGGTCTTTTCCAACCCTTTGCCCCTTCCACATCCACCTTTCGGCTGCTTTCAGCATTGGTCGGGACTGTCCTGTAGATGAGCACCCAAAGAACCCAATTTAAATGAGCACAAGCAAGAAAACGGGCGGGGGGAGGATGGTCTTCAAAAAAATTATGGGAAATACATATGTGCAAGAACTATACATGGATTTCGGTTTTTTCTACCACAATGCACTTATCTTTTCCTTCCATTTTTCCATTAATTTTTTGAAGTCCCTTCATAGTAACTATGGAAATAATGAAAACAAATGCACAGATGACTTCAAAGACTCCAGAAACTCAAAAATTGCAATGTCTGGGAATTTGTGTCCTCTGCGTGTTGTCATTCTTTAAACTTCACTCATGCTTCCTTTACATAGAAGAGAGAGAGAGGGAGAGTGGACTGAAGCTGCTGTAGGCATGCCTTCTTATGAGTAGGGCCTAACAGAGAAGAGAAATTCTTCAAGCACTTGTACGTGAGATCTCAGGGAAAGAATATATTTACCCCGCCTTGGGCCATGGAGTTATCCGTGGGACAGTCACTATCGCCAAGGCAGTCATGGGATGGGAAGGCTAAATTGAAAATATAAATGTCACCAACCCCTCCAGACTCAGGAATGTGGACAGGGACATCTCGGCAGCAAAAAGGAGCAGCATCTGTACCAGAGAATGTGAGAAAAAGAATAAAAACACAAAAACACAGTCATGCTCAACTCTACCATCGTCCACTGAAATGCTTTTTCCTCCTAAATGTCTTTCTCCTTCTTCCCAAATGCTTGTGTTTAGAAATGCTTCAGTCGTTGTCTCAATTTGCCCTACGTGATTCTTTCCTAAGCTGTAATACACAAGGTCTTTTCGTGAGATTCACAGAACCCTCACAGTGGGTGTGATGGATCCACTGTCCAAGTGTGTTCTAGTTCACGCACGTCAGTGATGTTTCCCTGTTAAGTTAAGGGCCGTGGAGATGGCAATCGTGTCTTCCATATGTTTTGTAGTCCTGGCAGTTCTGGGTCTCGCTTGGGGGATAGTGCATGCTGCTTTCCATAGCAGATGTGCTGGCACCCATTCCTGCCAACAGGGTCTCTGATGACTGCTGTTTACGGACAATTTGGGGGAAAAAATACACTTTGCTTCTCTCAAACCTTTCCAGTCCTTATTAGTCAGTGGGAAGATGTGTCCACAGAGCCATCACTCATTGGACTCTGCACTCTGAGTTCAGGTTTCCATCAGTGGGATCTGTTATGTCTGGGTCAGCCTCTTTCCTTTCAGAGGCTCTGGTTGTAAGGGTCTGACCTCGCATTCCTGTGTTTCAGCCCTAGGTTTATACGCACCTAGTAATTTAGTTTAACTTTTATGACTTATTCTGTTATTTCTCCCTGACAATTTTTGCTGTACCAAAACGAGACTGACATTCCCTTGTCAAAATCCATTCCATGGGGACAAGATAAATGATTCAGTCTTCAATATTCAGTGGAGAAAGGTTATCCCAGTGACCTCCGGGCAACCATTCATCTTTAAGACATGATAGATTCTTCAGGAGGGTTACAGGTTTATTATCATCCTGGTACTTTTGCCCTTCTCTCGCTGAGTCTTATTGGAAGTGATGGCAACCTCTTTCCAGTTCGTTTTCGTAAGAGCTGAGCTGGTAGGAAATTCACAGACAAACATTGCTGGTAAATTAACAGATGAAATTTACAGATGAACACAGAGTCAGAAAAATCTCTGTTTCAACCCTTGTTCTTTCTATTTGGAGGAGTCAAATTTGGAAAAGGTAAAATGACTATCTTAAATGACCATAAAACGAGAAAATGGGAGGTGCAATGAAAACTAGTACACTACCAATATGAAACAGTTTTTTAATTAATTCATTTCTTGAAATTATATTCACTAGAATACTCAGTGATACACTATGATACTATTCAGAGATACACTATGAGACTTTATTTCATAGAGTAATAGGTTTCTCTGTCCAAGGAAGGAAAC